CGAAAAAGCGCTGCGCCGGAGAGGTTGTCGTCGTTAGGACGTGGATGAGATTGAGTCTTGCTAGACGAGGCAGCGGTATCGTTGTTTAATGTAGCTCGCGAAAGAATTTGTTCCGCCTCTGCGTCAGTGGAAACTGTGTCGGAGAGCTTGCGGGTGGAGTGTGCCACTGGAGGCGGCGAGGAGGACATAGTGTATGAAGTGGAGAGATGGGAGAAGGGGGAAGTGAGCGAAAATGCAAGTCACCAGTTTATGAGTTGAAATTTACCTTATGTAAGACTGTGGCCTTCAGAAATGGGCGCCTTCGAACAATGAATGTTTCGTTCAAGTTCAAGTTGGGAAAAGGATTGTGGCAATAATTCAACGTGTGCGCCTCATGGCTGTGTCACATCACGTGATCGTTCTTTTACCCCATCAAGAATTTTTACGTCAATCTCTCTCAATATCTCAGCAAGTAAAATAATTTACGAGCAGTATACAGGGTTATATGACACTTGACTTCACTGAACCAGTCTTTAAAATGCAATTCATATCTGAAGTTGTGAAAAAATACAGGCGGGGTGGCAAGTGCCCACTTGTGACCCGAAGACTGCAGTCACGCCGGGCCGCCGCGGATAACCCTTCACCAGAGTATGTACACTACAGTATGTATGTACGAGACAAACCCGAGCATCAGCAACATTTTGAAATGTCTAGATACATAGAATACATATCTTAGTACGGTATTTCCATAGGAAACCTATAAAGAAAATGTCGAAGATCTGACTCAGTCCGGACTCATAATTACGACGAAAAAGCACAGCATATCCAGCCGCGACTACTTTGGGTGAAAATACCATGAAAATAGTAGCCAAAATGTTCGGAACACTTGGCCACTTTTCTCGGTAGGAAAAGTCAAATGACTTTCAGCATTTTTCACACTTTTTCTACATATCCTTTGATATTTTTACCATTTTGCTTTGCATTTGTTGGGTCAGAAATTTGTTACAAATGTCTGAACACTTTTGCCACCTTTTTCATGATATTTGCACGCGAAATCGTGGACTGGATTTGCTGTGAAGAATAGCGAGGTCGCGATCGGAGAATGCCGTAGTCACGTGCCTCTCCCGTCGTGGGGCGCCCAGAGTCTAAAGACGAAGAACTAACATATAAAGGTCAAAATTCAACGTCCAATGTTCAACACTCATGGCAATGAGATCTGGTTATTTTTGTTTTGATCATGTCGCCTTTCGTGCAATCTACTTTGGCTTTCATGTGCGTAACTTGACAAATATATTTTCCCATATAGTACTCCATGATTATATGATGTGATATTCACAATATGGGGATAAGCAGAAAACATAGAATACTACCACGTCAACCAACCCAGAATTACTCAACGAAATCCTCCACTGCTACCCACAATTGTTCCCTTGGCGTTTTCAAAGCAGCTCTGATTCAAGAGGGTGTCACCAGGCCAGACAGTTGGAGGTTGCTTTGGCAGCCTTCTCGAACACACGTTAGCGACTTTTGACTCTTATATCTCCTTTTAATATATAATAGAAGTTTTGTAATGAGAGTCTAGTTATAACAGGCTCCCAAGGGCACGGGAATAATCATACTGGAGCGCTGAAACAACTGGAGACGGTGTGAGCAAAGAAGAAAATTCCTGAAGTCAATATTGGTGAAATTTACCGTTGGTGGTTTCAATTTATAAATTCAACCACGAACTGCTCTCATCACGTGACCCTTCTTTCGCACCAACAATTCAATCAAACCTGCTTGGCAGGGAACCACTATCTTCCTTTCCCAGGTCTGTGAAGGAGAATAGTTGTGACTAGTTAACGTTTAACCTTGATATAAGATGAAAAAGAAACAGCGGTATTTCCAGAATATACATCCAACGGGAATCGAACCCGTGCCGCTTGCTTGGAAGGCAAGCATGATAACCGCTTCACCATGAATGTGTTAATAAATTGTGACAGTAATTGATTCAGAGTGGATGCCCTTGGTCGATGTGCACTCCGTCAACTTGAACTTTCACGCATTTGCCTCCATCTACTGATCGACTTCCACAAGTATGTCCACTCAAGAACTCGAAGAATCTCCCGAAGTAATGCAGAGCCTCAATTAATCCTTTCTTTACATCCAAAATATTTGACAGATGCGCTCCATCTATCATCGAAACTCGTCTGTGGATTGCACACAGGTATTTGGAAGACATGTTTGCTAAGTCTAGATGACCCGACATCAACCTAGGCATCGACACATCATACAGCAGAAATTGTGGTATGATCTCTAATTTCAATTCCGAATTACCTGAAATATATTCACGAAAAGTTTAGGTTAATCGGCTGCTCAATGATGCTTCCTCTGTCAGTTTCGAACAGACGCCTCCTTTCGCAATATTTAAAGAACGGGAGGACTTGAATTCAACCAACCTCCTCCAAACTCTCTCCTCGAGCTCGTTCTCTCAGACTTATTCCTGACAGAAAAGTTTTATCACGGTCTTTACAGTCTCAGGTCTTGCGCCTACTTGCTCCGACTCGACCTTTCTACCAAACACCGAATCAAATCTCTAGTCCTCGTCGTGGTCGTAATCAACATCAAACTCACTGTCTTTTCTGCTCTCGGACACCCTAACGGTCTCGAAAATGCGATTTACCAACAAATCCAATGCGACCAGTCTCCTCTTCTTTTCGGTCTTTTCTGTCTCATCCTCACTTGTGTCTGCTGCTCCAAATCCTTTACCAAGTCTCGACGTTGGCTTGACATTCAAGCGTCCATGTATGGCCGATCCCAAGGGGAGAAGTGCTAGTAATCCTGTAGTAAGCCTCAACCTATAGATGTTCTAGGTATTCCTCTTAAATAATGGTCTGTCCCACTTACGCCCAATATGACAGTGTTGTAAATGGTATGAAGTCCTGGATGATATCCAACTTAACTTGTCAGTGATTTTATTATTTTCTTTGCCGCGTATATATTAACAGTTTGATGATAGGTTTGAACATGAATGCGGTCCTGAAGCTCACGAGGTATGTATGGATCTCGTTTGGATGGACCGAATGAGTCGATTCACATTGTTGATCGGCACTCTACGATCCAAAATTCATCTATCTAGTCATTAAGAGTGCGTCTTCCATTTTCTTATAAAAGTTTGGTGCTCGATGTTCACTTTTGAAACTGTTCGTGTAGCTCACGTTTCACGACGCTATGGGATATTCTACTACGAATCCTTTGATGGGGTGAGTCTGATGGCTTGATGATGATCTGTTGTTGGGCTGAGTATTTTCGATTGCGTATTATAGAGGCGGCGCAGGTGAATTCATTCTCACATTCACCATTCACCATTCACCGTTGACCATCATCCTGCACTCAAAAACATTTAGACGGCTCTGTCATGCATTTCGCGGAAATAGAAATGGGATATGGTACGATTTCTCATATGCTAGGGCAAGTTGGATCTAATGGTCAAATCTGTAGTTGCAAATCATGGTGTCGATGAAATAGTCGAACTTCAACGTCCTTTTGCAATCAAGCATGAAGTTTCATTCGCCGATTTGTAAGTTTTGTCTATTCAATTAGTTCGCCCGTCTCTCCCACGCTTCTCTTATTTCAACCCATCATCATTTCCGGTTACCCATCGTTGCTCATTTCCTCCCTGGTAGCATCCAATTCGCCGGAGCAGTAGGCTTAACTCACTGTCCAGGATCTCCTCGGCTTCAATTCTTCACAGGTCGTTCCAATCAAACCATATTCCCAGCACCCGATGGAACACTTCCGTTAGCTTCGGATTCTGTTGATAAGATTTTAGAAAGAGTTAATGATGTTGGATTTACTGCGGATGAATTGGTGGATTTAATGGCTAGTCATAGTGTTGCTGTTCAGAGACATGTTGATCCTTCTCTACCGGTGAGTTGTAACTTCTCTTTCAATTGGGAGTGGGGATGTCTGACAATGTTGATGTGCTTCTTGTGCTTTTTGTAGGTCAACCAATCGTTCTTGGATTCTACGCCTGGGACTTTTGATTCACAATTTTATTTGGAAGTGAGTGCAGTATATTGCATTGTTTCCATCGACGTCACAGTCAAGAGTCAAAAGTCGAAACTCATTCACATATTTTCGGTAGACTATGCTCAAAGGTGAATCGTTCGCCGGAAACGGTTCGCGTAGTGAAGCCACTTCTCCATTTATTGGTGAATTTAGGTTAGCTTCAGATGCTGCTCTTGCGAGGGATCCTAGGTACGTCCGTCTTCTCTCACTCTCTCAATAATCATCTCTTTTTTCGTTTATCGATCTCATGGTTTCTCGTTCATCCGTTCGATTACTTCACGTTCAGGACCGCATGTGAATGGCAATCTTTCGTTGGTACGTTATCTCTAGTAATCTGATCATTGGCTTTTCCAGCCCTTCGTTCATCCATCCATCGTGACCCTCGACTCGACTGACCACTCTCTTTCTTAGATAATCGGACCTCAATGAATCAAAAATTCAAACTTGCAATGAAGAAACTTTCACTCATTGGACACTCACTAGAACACTTGGTTGATTGTTCGGAAGTTATACCTATCCCTGTTCAACCACCTTCTAATTCAACGACATCTTTGGGAAATTCTGCGAGTTATCCGAAGGGGAAAGGAAGGAGTGATGTTGAGGTTGCTTGTGATAATGGAAAGGGGTTTCCTGACCTTTGATCTTTTCCGACCCTTTGATCCTTTGATCTCTTTGTGGTATGGAAATCACGTATGGTGTATTTGGGTTTGTGTCGTGTCATGGTTGGTTGGACTTGGACTTTTGATTTGTTGTTTAGACTATCTTCGGTTTGGTTTGGGTTTCGTCTTGTCGACTCGTCCGTTCGTTCTTTTTTTCATATTGGATTTATGTGTATGACCCAGGACGCTTGTTTTTTTTTAAATATCTATCACATACTTATGTTACTCCTCATAATGCCTTTCTGTCGATGGAACGGATAACAACGATGATTGATGGTATAGTGGATTCATGGACGAGATGGGAACTACAATGCCGGGATAGCTCAGCTGGGAGAGCGACAGACTGAAGTTTGCGTATATTATATACTGTACTTTCTTCTGCAGGTCAGGTGTTCGAGCCACCTTCCTGGCATACAATTACAAGGAACGTATTTTTTACAGTCTACCGTACGTACGTAATTCAATGACGACCACAATCGGAGTCAACTTTCTTCACGTCTCTCCTCTCAGTCTCACCTCCTCCCTCCATTGAACACTCATTACATACCATACATATATCTCTTATTCAGCAAAGATTCACAGAATCACAGCACTTGAACCAGAAATGCGTACCACACCGATTCACAAGTTAACTCAGACTCCAACATATTCGTATTCGAGTTTCTTGTTAGGGTCTTCTGCATCTTCTTCGAGCTCATCCATTGCCAGGAGAAGTACGATCAACAGAGCTTCGACAGAAGGAAGAGGAAGGAGGGCGTTTCATGCAAGTTCAACACGATTAGGAGCACCCGGAGGAGGAGGGAATCATTATAAAACTTTGGCTGTTCCTCAGAATGCTACGAGGAATCAAATCAAAGTGCGTACCATACATTCGACTCTTTCGATTTTTGGGGAGGGGTTTTTTCTCATGAAGGTAGAGAACTAAAATTGATCATGTGTCTTTTGAAAGTCTAGCTTTTACAAAGTATGTCTTCGGCCCCCCCAATTCGCTCGTTGCTTTGGATTTGCTTATCTTAGGGTCGGTTTAACATCTGACATCTGACAATATTCATATGTTGTTTGGGGTTGGATTTTATTAGTTGAGTAAACAATATCATCCCGATGTTACTCAAGATCCAGGAGCGAAAGAGAAGTTTCAAGCTGTGAGTGAAGCTTATGCTGTTTTAGCGGATGATAGGAAACGGTATGTTTTTATCTCTCTCCTCCCGTTGTGAAGAATTCTCAAAAATATATCTACAGACGAGCATACGATAAAACTCTTCTTTCATCTTCTTCATACGCCCATTCCTTACATCATCGATATTCTGAACATCCAACGCAACAACCGCATGGAGCCTTTTATTACGACCCTTCTTCAACAACAAATCGGAAAAGAGGAGCTTCGTATGCTTGGGAATATCATTCAAGGCCGAATGCTCGATCATCTACTGGAGGTAGTGGTGGTGGAGCTTTCTATGGTGGATTTGGATATAGTCATAGTTATGGCGCAGGTGCTTCTGGTTCAGGACCAGGTGCTTCAAGTTATGGATTCACGAATCCTTCATATCAACGATCTACGAAATCTTCAACTGCCGAACAACCTTCTACGAATCCATTTTCGTCACCTTATGTTCAACGTGCGACGGGTTATAAACCTAATCCAAATAATCGACATGGGTATACTGAACATGGTGTTGGAGGAGGAGGAGGCGGGGTAGGAGGAGGGAGAAGGATGGGAAGACATATGCATGCGACTTATGAAAGTAATTCGAATAATGTTCATCATGTGAGTAGTTTTTGGAGAGCTGTTCAGGTTGTTGGTGTCGTCCTTTTAGTGGCTAGTATTGGTGGTGGATTCGTGGCTAGTGCTGCATGATGCACGATGCCGGGTTACGAAGTGGGAGGGAAGAGACATTACTTTCCGACGTGTTTCTTTCGTTAGTATACTTAGACTGGTATGTACTCTATTCTACTACCCGTTAATCGTACACTACGATGGTCGAAAACTGAAGCTGATCATGATACTCTGCTATTATTTTATTTAGGAATCAACAATTTTCTGTCGATTCATGTTTGTTGAACTCGCCACCGCCGCAAGTTACATACAGTATTTACCCAGGTTTAAAATTCCTAGTTCAATCGTTGACCAAGAAACAACGCAAGGATGACTCAGATTGAGATTTCGTTAAGATTGGTTTGAACAAATGAAAAGTAGCAAACGACCTTGATCTGTGGTCTGTCGTCCGGTCAATGGAACATACTTAGACGAGGCATTGAAGGTACGGGTCCTACTCCCAACGGCAGATGTTCTTTATTTTCCTTTCAATCCCAAATTGATTGATCTTTTTTTCCTAGTCCATTATTTTTACCATTACCTGGGTGAACACTGATATTTTCCCGTGGATCGCTATGGCCTTTGGAGGTCTATCGAAAGATTTATACCCATCTGGAGGACAGCCGCCAACCCTGGATCAGTCCCCCCTTTTCTTTTTCTACATGACTTCGTCTACCTCTATTCAGATGCAACATTCATAAAGTCAACCTCGAAAGTCGACGTACAGTACCCGATTGAATTGGATACTATCGAGGACGACAATCACCGGAATTGCGACTTTGAACGAGAAAATGTGATATGGTAATCCTTCAGCCTGCTAATCGAATTCCTACTACTGTATGTATGCTCACCTCCCTGCTTGTTTCGTGCATCTCTCTTTGTTGTTGTGGAATCGGACTCGAATAATAGATTACCTTTGTCATCACATTGTTGGAGTGCAGCAGTCGGACTGTGAATTTTAATTTTTCTCTCTATTCATATTCATTCGTGTACTCGTATGATTTGACTGACAGTTTTCAGTTTGTTTAGGTTAAGACCGAACCAAGGGGAATATAGATTGCGGTGAGTCGCTTCCTATGAATATGCCATGTGTAGAAATGGGTACTAAGTATGAAGGCAGCGATTTTAACGACGCGATCACGTGGACTGTTTACAGTGTCCCAACCATCAGGCCAAAAGGAAAATGCTCCCACGGGTCGCTAGTGGCGAGCGTCTCTGGACATCCTTTCAACGAGGCCGCCCGCTTTCAATCCACTCACCTTCCCTCCTCCTCCAACCCCCACCTCTTCTACTACATTCCTCCGCTCCTCTAAATTTTTAACTTAGATGGATCCCGAAAAAGATCACTGGAAGGAAGACACCTTCAGAGAGCGCGGTCCAATCCCCATCAAGAGGTTCATTAACGATTATTTGCCCAAACCCGAGGCTGATCTTCCCGAAGACCTCGATTTCTTGTCGTATGATATTGAGCAATGGACTGGGCCACTACACGAATACATTGTATGTGTCTCCTTCTTCCCCATTGTCTTATTTTCGTTGACATCGCTACCTTTGACCTCGACATTTGGCCATGGCCTCAAACTTATGCAGACACAAACGTTGGCGGAATCACCAGTGCTCAAAGGCTATCATGTCTATGACAATACCTCAGGGCTTAATAGCCCTGGCCGTCCAGATATCCTATTGTACTCGAAGAAACTACCCGCCAATCCTACTTCCTGGAAGCACCTCGAAATGGGTATCAAAGTAGTCCCAGTAGAAAGCACGTCTCAGTCCAATATGGGCAAATGGGCTTTGGAACTTGACCCATTCCTTGATGACTGCACGAAACACGCCAAATTTGACATCGCCGAAGAGAATCGCGGAGATAACAAAGAGTCTACTCGACTCTTAAATTCTCTGATCGCTTTTGCCGGGAACCAACTTTTGGTTCAACATAGGACGTTCATCTTTTCTGTGGTGATACGTGGTCAAAATGTCCGTCTTATGCGTTGGGACAGGCTTGGTGTTGTGTTTTCAGATGACATAAATCTTCGCTTACATTCAAAATTACTCTCTGAGTTCTTTTGGAGGTATTGTCAAGCTGGGGAAGAAGACCGTGGGTGGGATACTTCGGTGTCACTTGCGACGCGTTTTGAGGAAGCGTTGCTTAAAAGGGTGATTGAAAGACATTTGAAGGAAATGTCATTGGGCAAACGAAACCAACTTTTTAACCTCGATCGTAGTCTTTCAAAGGAAGATCCTACAACCTCATATCAATTCGTTGATTTCCCTACTTTTAAAGTAAAGGTAGGGAAAGTGAATTATCTTATACGAGCCCCGTTCACGGATAACCGACCATGGGAGTGTGCCACTCGTGGCTATTACGGAGTGGACGTCAAGAAACCGAACGATCTGGTATTTTTGAAGGATTCTTGGAGACCGCCTGGGTATGACTCGGAGGCGGATGTTTTGAAGGAGTGGAGGGAACATGGCATTCAGGATCATCCGTGCTTGCCACGGTTATGGAGGGCGCAGGATGTTTTGTATGAGGACTCTGATTATCCTCATGAGACGTGCACCCAAAAAACCAAGAAGGGGGGACCCGAGCAAAATGATGATAATGAGCCGTTCATTCATCATTATGTTGTCGGTGAAGTGTTATTTCCGTTGAAGTTGGTCCCGAGCTCGAGGGACGTGGCGAGGGCCGTTAGGGACGCAATGGCAGGTACGATCGATATCTTTATTTTATTTATTTTACTACAGCTGACTTGCGTACCCTCCATTTTGCTAGGACTTGTGGAGGTATTCACCTTAACCGGGCGAGTCCATGCAGATTTTAGTCCTTCCAATGTCATGGTAAGGGTCTCTGGAGGGGGGGAAATTAATGGTGTCCTCAATGATTGGGACAAGACTGCACGTCGGGGGCAGCAAGTCAACTATGTAGGCTCCCTCTCTTTCTCTTGTTTTCTCGTGGTTGGTGACATAACGTATACTGACGAGTTCCTGTTTATATTACATTATAGTGCACCCAGGCTACGGCCTCAATGAACACTGCACTGTCTTTTGAGAAGAACAGCTTCCACATACCGACGATAATGGATGATCTTGAATCATCCTTCTGGACATTGTTGTACACCCTCTCGCGGCAACATAAACATGAAGGTGCGATACAGGAAGATATTTTTGGGTTTAAAACAAACAATGCTCGGTTACAAAAGATGGCTTTCTTGAAGAATACCAATGGACTCGGTATCCGTTTTCAGAGTACACCGGTGAATACTCTGCTCAAAGAACTCAAAGAATTTTGGGCCAAAAACAGCACGGCTTGCAGTGGTAGTCTGAGTACGAAACAGGAGGAGCCAAAGGATTTGTTAACGTTAACGGATGCTACAGTTAAACAGCTGATGGATATATTCGATAAGACGTTGTCTATGGAGGGGTGGATCCCGTATGATCGACGTGATAGCATATATGATAAGTTCATCATGTCGAAGCGGGCTAGGCAGGGTAAGTGCTCTCATTTCTCACCATATAATGTTGCTAACTTATATTTATATCAGGCCATGAAACTCGGATAAAACAGCAAGAAACTAGTAGCCGTTTTCCTGTTGCTCCTGATGTTGACCGAGATCAAGATGAGCTACCACGCCTAGTAGGATCTATACCCGACAGAGTATTGAATTCTTTGCAAGCGTGCAACGGGTCTCGCTCTGCAGGTTGTGGTGCCTCGCAAGCACCTAGTAGGGTGCGTGCTGGTTATTTGACTTGTTCCATATTTACTTCTTTTGATTAACATTCATTTTTACTAGTCGGTTGCACTAGAACCTGAACGTAGTCACGCTATCAAGCGTGAAGAATCCGTCGAACCTATTACTCCGTTTATTCCTTCCGGAGGAAACGGTGAAGGCGCAACTCGTAATCCAAACGCTGGTGCTACTTTACCTCGTCCTCCAGAGCATACGACATCGAACGGAGAATTGCACAATGCAGATGCAACAGAGGGGAAAGCTCAAAGCCCACAGAAACCAAAGAATCGCCGTAAAAAGGTATGTCGCTAATGTTTGCACTCACAACTTCTCATTATTGACGGCGACACTCATAGACTGCTGACGGGCGTCGCGCGGCTGAGAAACCTGAAGTTAATAACCACGCCATGAAACGACATCGAGATGCAGACAGTAAGGTAGAGGCTAGCGATATGGAGGAGGATTTCGTAAAAAGAGCTTCGAAGAGAAGACGGATTACGAAGGCGAGCGGGACGGAAAATGTATTCTAAGATGTAATCAAGTATCATACTGTATTCTACCTCAGATCATAATATTGTACTTTTCAGTAGCAGGTATATTTGATTAATATCGAAAGTAATGGCATGCAGCTAATAGAGAAATAAATTCATGCGAGGCTGGTTGAATACGCCGACGTTTTATTTCACTGCAAGCACGTGCATTGATGCTTGCTTTCAACCACTTCAACTCAAATATTCTCAGCAAAATATTGAGATAAAATAATTCTTACCTTCTGCTAAATCAGCTGTACTTCTAGTCGAAACTCCCTGAATTTGCAGCTTGAAGGGCGGAGGGATTGAAAACGGCATCATAGTAGTGCGCGTGACACAGTGTGACACTGCGGCTGGCACTTTCCGAGTCAAGTTCAAGAAGTTCGGACGTGAACTTGAACTTGAACCCCACCATACTACAAGCCAGCGAGCCAACGTCCCCGCTATATACTAAAGGTATGATAAAGACCACGATTTTCTATTGTGCGCTGTACTTCTCACATAGAGTCTTATTCAACTGTTTCGAGGCAGACTTGAACCAAGTAGTTCTTCTCCGGATAGGTTTCCTTCTCGATACAACAATTACCGATATTTACGCAAACTCTGACGCAAGTTGTTCTCGTCAAAGATGTTTTAACAGTCTAAGTTTCTCGGTCCTGTACCATACGACAAATTCGTCGATAAATACATGGAGCCTCCTGGAGAATACAAACCTGCAACTGTTGTAAGTAACAAACTCTCCACAGCAATCGGGGGTATTTCTACGAGTAGAAATGTCAAAGAGATGTATGATTTACTGGTGAGCTTGAATTAATCACAGCTCTTGTTTCATATGTCGATCGGAGATCATGATGCTCTACAGGTCAAATGTGTCAACACAATCTCCAAAAGCTTCAAATTACACAGCGACAACGAATTCGATAACAAACAAGTCATCAATATCGAGGTCAAGCGGAAAAGTGGCAAGAGAAAGGCGTACAATGATGCGTTTTCGATTGTATTGGTATCTAACGATTCGGACCAATTCTTGAACACAACATCGTTTGGATCAACAGACTTACAATGCCGGCAAGCTTATGAAGATCTCCTCTCAGAAGTTGCAACACAGTTCAATCGTCAGCAGCGTGTTTTCCTATTCAGCTTCTATATTTCCAACAACCGCGCCGGGATCATTCGCTGAGATCGTGCAGAGCCATCGTCACTGAGCCTATCAACCACTGCACGGAGCCTCACAAATTCGTTTATTTCTTCAAACGACTAAACAAGCTCATAGATATCCAACTCGGTCTCGATATGAGTGTCACCTATGCCACGCCGAAGCAGAAAAATCTTTTGGTTTGGTTTGTCGAAAACTTCCTGCAAGACGTCACCGACTCGAAAGGATATCCCATATCACTTCCAAACATGGAGGAGACTCTCGATCCATCTTTTCCTGCATATGCAATCCACCTTCCAATCGAACAAGACATGAAGACATCAGCATCGCCCAATATCTACATCGTCCAGAAGCCACTCCATTCAGCCTCTTTTGTTTGGGGTCCGGGTACTCGAACATACATTGCGTACGATACACGACAGGACAAACTTGTCTTCTTGAAGGACTACTGGCGTCCCATTGAGAATTGTCGCGATTCAGAAGTAGATATATGCGAAGAATTCAAGAAGGAGTTTGAGGATGAGCCTGATGTCCTTCAGCACCTCCCTGTCCTTCTTCATAGCTCCCATGTTCGGCAGTGCCCCAACTCAGATCAACGGAAAACTTTGGCATCAGCACATGATTGGAAAGACGAAGAAACTATGCGACCTACCGCGATGTCCGTACAGATTCTTGCACACCACAGGATTGCTCAAGAACTTGTGCTCCCACTGCTTGATGTTCCTTCCTCAAAAGATGCCGTTCAGGTCATCCGAGATGTTGCATTCGGTTTGTCATTCCTTTCTATTATCTTTTTCGATGCAGATGCTCTAATAATTCGCATTATGTAGTGATCATTCGGGTGTTCAGGAAGACCAGACGTCTACACCGTGATATCAGTCTCCTAAGCATCGTGACTGCCAAATTTGACGGAGTACTTCGCGGGATCTTGAATGACTGGGACCATAGCAAAAAGATGCTTCCTGGTTCAAAACTCCCTGATCATCGTGTTGTTTGTTTCTTATTTGTTCTCTCGTTTGATCTGGATCTGACTTTAAGTTGTTTTGTGATAGGGAACGTGGTCATTCCTATCAATTGGATTAGCTTCAGACCCTCACAAGTCTCATACACTCTTGGATGACCTTGAATCATGTTTTTGGGTCCTCCTTCATCTTTCCGTTCATCGATTTCCAGCCAAAGTTGAACGGGTTCTTCTTGGAATGTTCCATGAATATCAACCCAAACTCTGTGGTCCTACAACACGCGGTAACTGGAAGCGAACGTTCTTGTGTGCTAAGATGCCATACTCAAGCACAGCCGTGACGTTTGACTGTAAACCACTCAATGATCTCATCCAAGAACTTCGAAATCACTACAGGGTGTACTATGCAATGCGAGACCTCCAGGCAAATGACGAGCGTAGGCTTGCACAATTTGGGCAAGATCAGATCAAGAATGTCGAGGAGATTTTGGAGATGTTCGACAATGCTCTTGATGCAGATGGATGGGTCACCAACGACGGAGTTCCAGATAGGTTTCCTCCTATTTATCCCACTACTGACGTCGAATAGAGCGCAAACGTGGCAACAAATGTAAGGACTGAACAGATCAACTCGAGTCTTTGCTTCTCAATCTCAATATCTATGACCTAAAGCACCCGGCTCCGGGCACCCAGAAAGAATAATCGAACCTCGAAACGCCTGAAAACCACTATGAAACCTCCTTCAGTTCCACCTGCGGTCCAGAAACAATGTCTACCCAGCACACAGCAAACGAAGAAACGCGGAACGGGCGATACTTACCTTGATGAAGATCTTCGACCTCCAAAGCCATCCCGTACTCGTAGTCAAGATTCTTCTACCGAACCTGCAGTTAAACCTCCTCTTCTTCCCGGGTGATTGACACGGATTCAGAGCTCCCTTGGAACTTCGCACGTGGTAGTAGTAGTAGGAATAATCCCCGAGGGTAATTGCGGACTTCAAGCTTTTATTCCTTCTCCCCTGTGTTGTAATTGGCCATGCTTTTATGAAATATCTTCCTATCCCATTTGTGTACGACATCGATGAAAACTTTTGTGCAGTCAGAATTGCTCCAAAAATCCGCGAAAAAATATTCAAACCGCCTAATATGCAAAAAGAAACAAGAGCCTGACTGTGCCAGGAAGGTGGCTCGAACACCTGACCTGCAGAAGAAAGTTGACGGAATGCTCGTCTTAACTTCAGTCTGTCGCTCTCCCAGCTGAGCTATCCCGGCATTTCTTCGGAGATACTGATGAAGTATTGGGATACAGTTGCAGTTTTTTTAACCAAGTTGATAAGTTGTGGAAAAGCGACATGCACAATACAAAAATTGGTACAGAGTCAATGCACGAGAATTTGAGGAGCTGGAGAGCAATATATTCAACACAGAAACCCGACGATGAAATTGCATTGTCTATGAAAGAATGCCCAAGAATGTAAATTTACGATGTACATTTACAGTAGATACCAAGATAAGTAATTAGCAGGTGTATATGCTACCAATAAACAAGATGAAATGACTATGATACATCGATTAACGTATAAACTTAAGAGGCAAGAAGTTAAAGCTCAGGGGGAGATGATTGCTGAATGGCGTGGAGAACATCAGCTAGTCGGAAAGGGTCTGGCGGAGATGGGTTCTCTTTTGCAAGCTCTTCGAGAGGTGTTAATGGAGTGAGCATTCCTGAACCAGGGACTTCACCGTCAACATCAAATTGTTCTGGTGGAATCAGCTCTATCCACTGCTCGAGAGATTTGTATGAAGTGTCCACGAGGACTTCGCGGTTCCCAATGAATGAATGTCCGGCAGCGTGAGAGGCAGAAGGTTGTGAGGGGACGTTGAATGAGGCAGCAGAGGTTAAAGGAGCATCGGTATCAGAAGGCTGCGGTAGAGGTATACCAATGTATTCCCTTGGTAAACGACAAGGATTTTTGAAAACAGGTTGTCGACCTGGTTCTGTTTCAACGACAATGTGTCGATGATCTTCACCAACGTGACCTCTGCCAATGCGTTCGCCATGAATGTCATATACGACACCCCAGTATTCACCTTTGTCAAGGTCGATAGATGTAGGCGGAGGTGATTGGAGCCTTACTCGCTTAGAAGAAGATTTTGTCTGCTTGCCGTTGGTTTTGGCAGCGAGTGCACGTCTTTCCTGCATCTTGCCTTCTACTTGTTCGTTCGCATCCGGATCTTTCATGTAAAATACCACCCTTCCACCGCGAGGTTGACGAACATAAGGCACCCCGCGTTTTCGACAACAGACGTCGCAGTTGCATGTGTTTGAGCACACGGGGCATTTGAAGCGAACGATCAGAGGGTCAAACGTTATATTAGGATATCTGTTAGATATCATGTAAGTTGCTATCCAACTCAAAACCAGATGAATGAATATTACGAACCGTTTCGAGATGCACATTATACAGAACCTTTTCCCACACGGGCCCTTGATACTATCGATCTCAGTACACCTCATTTTCTCGTATGACGTTTTGCGCCGACAGTGATGACAGTAGTTAGGCTCTTCTGCAAGTATCCTCGGGATATCATCACGGGTAGCATGAGGTTTGGGGCCTCTCTTCCTCTTCTCAGAGGTACTTGTGTTAATTGGTGCTCGCATAATGTTCGAAGAGGAGGGTGATGATGATCCAGAGTCGACATATCCCTCATCTTCATCTTCGTCCACACTTGACCCTTCCGCGTCAGCATCTGTCGTGTCCTCGGCTTCATCTGTAACAGTTTGTTTGGCATGAGTAACGGTCCTGATCGGTTGAGGCCTTCCGTTGACTTCAGTCGCAACATCTTGATTTTCTGCCCCATGTGTTGAAGCGAGAGCGACGTCTTCTACTGCCTTCTCTTTCCCCTTCCCCTTCCCTTTGCCTTTGCCTTTCCCCTTTCCCTTTCCCTTCCCTTTTCCAGAAGGAGGCTTGTAATCATCGTCACGAAGCCGAGAAGCTGGAATGGCTCGCTGTCGGGAAGTAGAAGGTTGAGCTGTGGCTCTTAACGGTGTCTCTCCTTGACTCGTCGAAGTCTGATCGAATAGACTATCTGAAACTGACGGGGAAGAGACCCTAGATCTGGAAAGAGTCGAAGGTCCACCAAGGAGTGAAGGGTCGATGGTTCCATTACCGAACACGTGCGGATTATAGTATTCGGTGGATCCTTCTTCGTCTACTGGCGTTATTGTAGACGTTACGGAATTGACATCAGGAGGAAATGACGAAGTAATAGCCACACGATTAGGTCCTGAACCTCTTGCGAACCAACGAAGTGGGCCATGATGAGAATGAGACGCTGATGTGTTCCATTCAGTCGCAGGCGCTCGAGAGCCCCATTCGGAAATAGCATGAGCACTTCCAGACCCAAATTGTGGTGGTTGGAACATAGAGTACATGTTATGATCTCCGTTCTGTGTCAACGGAGAACCATCATGACCGAGCATATCACCAGAACCAGCTTGGAGATTAACTAGATCGCGAACGTCCATTCCTACAGCAGAATTTCCGCTACTGGTTCCAGCATCAACAGGCTTCTCCAAAGATCCCTTTACAACCCCATTATCCTGACGACGCAAAGGTGTCATATTATCGACTGAAGTTTCCGTCAATCGTTTCGGTGAATGGGTGAGATCTGTCGGATTCTCGTTGGTGCCAGTATCAACGGAGATAGAAAAGGTATCTCTCACATGTGATGTGGACTCCCCGGACATGGACGACATCTGGGGAGGAGATCCTATGCGACCTTGGGAGTCACTTGGTACTGGAAGCTCGGCGGACGAAGGAGCGGCATGAGAGGGCAAAGCGGTTTCCGAAGGCGATGCTTGCTGGTTGGGAGGGTTAGGGGCTTTGGTAGTGGGAATTTGGGTATCACGTAGCGATGGGTCAATCACCATATCTGGGGGCTCATGAGCCGGATGTTGTCGATGAAAATGAGGATTAGATGAGGAAGTAATTGGATTAGTGGAATCCCTTCTATCTCCATCCGGGGGCCCTTCGGCACCGTAGTAATTCTCCAACGACTTTGTCGCGTGCTCTAAAGTCGCCTTGAATCGTTCAATGTTGATGCATGGAACGTGCAATCCGATACGCAAGCTCCATTCCGCGTCGTCGTCGGTAACACCATCAAATGAGAACTCTTGTACGACGAGATCACCAAGAGGATCCTGCCCAAGCAACCCAAGGCTATTCAAGCACGGCTGGTCATCTTCGTTTCCTTCCTCAGCACCCTCCGGCACCACAGAAGGTTCAGGAATATCTTGGGCCGGTGCTTCAGTTGCAAAACGTTGTTTCTTGCGAGAAGTTTGCGATTCACTGTCGGCGGCGTGCTTACGTTTGGGAGTCTTTAATGCTGTAGAAGCTGCCTGCTGTCGAGTCGTTCGTCCTTGACCGTCAAACAGGGAGATGTATTCTTCTCGTTTGAATCTAGATGGAGGAGGCGGTACGAGGATGTACGCAAGCATCTTTGTAGGACGACTTGTTTGGCGTGGAGTCTTCCCAAATGGCTGTGAAGGCCCAGCGAGTTGTCTGAGACTGGCGCGTGATCGAGCATCTTCTTCGTCCAAATGAGCCATAAGAGTAGCCATGTCCACAACATCTTCTTCGGTAGATCCAGGCGTAGATGCTTGATCGATCAACAAAAAAGAAGGCTGTTTACGACCTGATTTAAGCGGCGATGGCTGATAGAAGAAGTTACAATGAATTGAAAGTAATGAGAACATTAATGTGTACACTTACAATTTCGCGAAGAACAAATGGGTCGTCATCTCCGTCTAGGGTCGCACTAGGGGCCATCACTTCTGTGTTTGCCCTGACGAGTGAAGGATCGGCACATGCGCTAACAACTGCTAAATGGTCGGGGGTTTCATCGAGGTCCATATCGGCCGAGTTCTCCACGTTCCTCAACGAGCTGAGAACGCCTACTGCTGAGCTCGACGCTCCTTTAATGATCGGATCTTCAACAGCCCTCGATTGATCAGCGGTCCCATGCGAACAAGTTTCATCAATATCCATGTTGTTGTTGACTAGATTAGCAAAGTCGTGTGCTGAACCTGAGTGTATTTGCGAAGCGACAGATTCATGGCGAGAATCCAACGGGCTAACTGAAGACGTTTCGTCGAGTTCCTTAGCAGCGGATTCTGCTGCTGCACGTAACAAGCTGAAGTCATCCGAGAGTGGCGTTGCCTCCGACGTGGTGGAATCCCTATGGGCGGGATTTATCAGATTTGGATATGTGTTCGACAAGCTGAGAGTATCGGTGGCTAAATTAAATTCGTGAGTCTGTGTGCCAGTTTTGGCTTCAGATTCAGCCGCATCGGTAAATGGGATGTCGACTGTGCGTATAAACGCTGTTAACGAACTAGACTTTGCTCAAGGATATGGACATACCATCGGTCGAGTGAGGCTCGAGGGTATTTCGACCAGAAGAAGTATCATGAGGTAAAGATTGAGCTGCCTCTGCAACGAGGGAGGATGCGGCCCCAGGTATCGATTGAAGGGAGTCCGGAACGTGAGAAGAATGAAAAAGACTTGACGATACATCGGAAGATGCAGAAGACAACCCGACTTTCTTGCTTGAACCTGCAACAAGACCAGAATCAACGGTATGAGAAGATTTCGAAAGAACCTTCATAGCGATCTCCGCTGCTACTGTAGGTCCTGTAAGTGAACCTGGATTTCGCAAGGGACCTAAAACCATTAATTGTGAAAACTTTCCCGCATAAGACGAGAAAATCGCCTACTTGAATGACCTTGGACTGGAAAAGTTGGAAGGGGTGGAAAACCAGAAACTTGGAATAACCCCGCGTTCTGAGTTGCTGGTATACGTTTTGGTGAGTTATCTATCGATCAACATGAAGTATTCGTTCTAAGGGTAGATAATAAATCTTTGCGCACTGGAATAATTCACCGGCTGAGGAAACAGTGATTCCGTCGCAGCATATAGCGAACCCTCGATAAAACTATTCGATGGATGCGAGTGTGTTGCACTACTAGTGGAAGCGGGCGTTGGAGATCCCAAAGGTGTTCTAGAAACGGATGCTTTGGGCGCACGGTTTGGTGACGCGAAGGGGGACGAAGTGCTCTGGTCTCCCATGAAGAATACAGGAGGACTTGTAACTGGTGGAATCGGCGATGAGTTCGATGTTATATATGGTCCTGAACGTGACACAAATGGCGAGAGTGCGGGTGTTGTTGATTTCTACGGAGACTATAAAAAGGGCTTTAAAGAAATAGAAC